GCCTCAATCTTCTGCTGCTTCTCTATCATGTCTCGCAGCTGCACAACCGCCTGGCCCAGTGGCATCTGCTGCTGCTGCTTCAGCTGCTGCTGCTGCTTCAGCTGCTGCTGCTGCTGCTGCTGCTGCTGCTCCAGCTGCTGCAGCTGCTGCTGCTGCTGCTCCAGCAGGACCTGCTGCTGCTGCAGCTGCTGCTGCAGTGCCTGTACCTGCTGCAGCTGCTGCTGCAGCTCGTGGCTAGAGGGCTGCTGCCACTGCTCATGCTGCTGCTGCACCTGCTGCAGCTGCTCCTCTAGCTGTTTTACTTGCCATAGCTGCTGCTCCTGCTGCAGCTGCAGCAGCTTCGACAGCTGCTCCTGCTGCTGCTCCTGTTGAGTTTGCTGCAGTTGCAGCGGCGGCAACTCAGACAGTTCCTGCTGCTGGTGCTGCTGCTGCTGCTGCTGCACCTGCTGCTGCTGCTGCTCATCCGGAACTCCTGCTGCAGCAACATCGCCGGAAGATACTGAGTTGCTGACCGTTGCAGCGGCCGTTGATGGCTCTGCTGCTGCTGCTGCTGCTGCTGCTGCTGGTTCTGCTGCTGCTGCTGCTGCTCCTGCTGCTGCTGCTGCTGCTGCTGGAGCCCCGATTTCAGGAAGGGTTCCCTGGCTGTGCTGCTGCTGCTGCACACCCTGGACTTCATCAGCTGCTGCTGCTGCTGCAGTCGAGAGAGTCCCCAGAAGGGCTTCCCCCAGAAGCAACAGCAGCAGCAGCAGCAGCTGCTGCTGCTGCTGCTGCCGGTGGTGCTGCCGCATAATCCAGCGAGCAGCAGCAGCACCGAAACTTCAGAAGCCAGAAAAATGCTAAAGTCTGCAGATGAACCCCAAACCCCAAACCCTAAACCCTAAACCCTAAACCCTAAACCCTAAACCCTTCCTGTGTAGAAGGGCTGGCGAGCCTCAAGTTGGCTTCGGCGTGCGAGCGAAGGGATGCCCATGTCAAGCTAGAAACTCTAAACCCTAAACCCTAAACCCTAAACCGTAAACCCTAAACCCTAAACCCCAAGCCAAGGCCGCAGTTTCGCCTCTTTTAGCTCCTTCTTTACTAGCCTGAGAAACCGCCGCTGGGGGCGTCCCCAAGCCCCAAAGCCCAAACTCTAAACCCTAAACCCTAAATACTAAACCGTAAGCCCGAAACCCTCAACCCTAAACCCTAAACCCTAAACCCTAAATCTAAAACCCTAAATAAATTAACCGCGTTTCACTTTAAAAAATAATAAAGACCTGCAATGAGCAGGCAAGCCTCCCTAGACCCTAAACCCTAGAGCACTGGCCCACTGAACCCGAAACTCTAAACCCTAAGCCCTAAACCCTAAACCCTCAGCTAAACCCTCAGCGCTACACGATTTTGGGAATACCCTAGAGATCCTTGGGGTTTAGAAAAGTAATTAAAAGCTTCATAGTTTGGGACTAAAGCCACTGTGGGGCCCGCAGCAGCAGCAGCAGCAGCAGCAGCGACTGTGCTGCAGCAGCAGTACAACCGAAGCTACAGCAGCAGCAACTATGCTGCAGCAGCTGCGCAACAGATGCTGCAGCAGCAACAGCAGCAGTGCTGCAGCAGCACATAGAATGCCGTTACCGCTGCAGCCTCCGCCAACACAGCAGCGCGAACAGCTGCTGCTGCTGCTGCTATTGCAGCAATGCAGAAGGAGGAGCTCTGATGCTCGCTGCAGCGCTACATTGCAAACCCTAAACCCTAAACCCTAAACCCTCCAAATAAGGCCTAGGGAAGAGTAATGAAGGGCGAAGAAGAACTGGTGTATGATAGAGGGACCTGCAGATACACCCCAGCGCAAGCAACCTGCTGCAGCTGCTGCAGCAGCAGCAGCAACAGCAGCGGGTGTTGCTGCTGCAGCGGCAGCAACAACCATGGCAGCAGCAAAGCCAGCAACAACAGCAACAATTGCAGCAACTGCCGTAGTAACGGCGGCAGCTGCTGCAGCCGCAGCAACAGCAACAGTAGCAGCTTGACCAGCAGCAGCAGCTGCTGCTGCTGGTCAAACTGCTACTGTTGCAGCAGCAGCAGCAAGAGCAACAGCAGCAGCAGCAGCAGCTTGCTGACTTCCGCGAGGCACTGCTGCTGCAGGGCCTTCTCTGAGGGCCCCACATCGCCTCCGCAACTCTTATAGCGCTGAACTACCTGCAGCAGCAGCAGCAGCAGCAGCACAAGCAGCAGCAGCAGCATATGCAGCAGCAGCAGCGTTATAGGCAGCAGTAGCAGCACCATAGGGACCCGCAGCAGCGGCAGCAGCTCAAGCAGCAGCAGCAGCAGCAGTGCGCTGAACACTCATGCCGAAGCTCTCAACCCCTAAACCCTAAACCCTAAACCCTAAACCCTCACGGCTTTCGCCAGTTTCTTCCAGTGCATGCGTTTTTGGGGCTGCTGCAGCAAAACAGCATTTGCTGCTTCCAGCCAGTTGAAACTTGAGGGGGAAGGGGCCTGCTTGAAGCGCTTCTGCTTCTGCTGC